TCTCTCTCTCTCTCTCTCTCTCTCTCTCTCTCTCTCTCTCTCTCTCAGTACTAGTTCCTAGAGCCCTTTCGGGTTAGTTCCCAAACACCATTTTCCGACAAGATGTGACGGAATGAAAGTGAACCAAATGCAATTATCGATACTATGGAATCAAAATAAATGTTATGACATAATATTGTCAATTAATCGAATAAACAAAGGTGCGTAAACGTATTGAAGAGAAAATTATTACAAGTGACTAATTTTATTTCCCTCACCAATATGAGCAAAATATAAATACAATTTTTCTATTATTCTTTTAAAATTAATATTCCTTTGCTATATATTCTTCTAAGATGTTTAAAATATACCGCCAGACTGTGTTTCCGGCAACGTCACTTATGACGTATAGCGTGTTCGACTGGCCCTGGGTTAATCGCTCCGAGAGCGATTATTGACGTCATAAGTCTCTACTAGTCAATCATAAGAGCTATCGCACACAAATTGACATAACTGCATATGCATAGCATAAGACCGTATGTACCAATGAGCATCGAGTATTAAGTCGCCATATTGGTTTCGATGCTTAATATTCGATGCTCATTGGTCCATACGATCTTATGCTATGCATATGCAGTTATGTCAATTTGTGTGCGATAGCCCTTACTAGTTCAGCAATAGAAAACAGACCATGACGCGGGCAACGTGGTAACTTGATGGTCAATCATTGGTTGCGTTTCGTAATACGCATATATGTATATTTATCTATAGTTCATGTCATACATACTGTAGAAAATGCGCGCGTTTTAATTGAGGAATGCGGCGATAGTCTTGCTTTTCCGAAGATAAAGTTAACAGCACACGGTGCTTCTTTTCTTGCTGGATTTAGTAACATATTAAAAATGCATCGAATTAGAATATCTAGCGTATCACTAATCATCCAGCACGAAACAAGGGTTAGACGACAGTTTCCCAAAAAGTGAAGGGGATAATGTTGATATCAAGGAAAATCTCTACACGATATAATTTAAAGATTTGTTCTTTGTAACTGCACTGCTGAACTGGTGCAATAAATTGAAGTGAGGCAAGTATACGTTTTCTCACTCTAACCTTTTGCATTAGATCAGCAGTGCAGTTACAAAGCATAGATCTTTAAATTATATCGTATAGAGATTTTCCTTGATACCAACATTATCCTCCCCATTTTTCGGGAAACTGTCGCCTAATGGCTCTCGCAAACCAGTGCGATGCGCGACGCGACACACGATATGCGACGAGCGATATCCAATGAACGTATTGGTATTCCGGAAAAGCTGTACGCTCATTGGATATCGCGCATCACATTCGCGTGTTGCGTCGCAAACGCGCTGGTCTGCGAGAGCCATAACCCGAAACAAGCACTGGCCTGGTTTATATCGTGCACTAAATATACAGATGTCTATACTAAACTAAATTGCTAACAAGGGCTTCAAACATGCGTCGCGTAAGGTTTCCGGTTGTATGCGAAAAAATGGCGACGGCTCTGTGTATATGACGTGTCATTGGCTGCGTTCAGCAAAGAAAGCTGCTTTACAACTGTTGTAAAATTTGTGAATCTGATTGGAGTTTGCTCTTAATTTTGGTTAAATTCAAGAACATGTACCAATCAGATTCACGAATTTTACAACAGTGTAAAGCAGATTTCTCTGCTGAACGCAGCCATTTGTATGAGTACTTACAACGTACAATGTGAGTCAGCGTGGCCATTAAATTACTGTCGTAAAATAAAAAATGCCAGCATCTTATTGCATCAAAAAATGTCGTAACAAAAAATACTATTGAGCCAATAACCGTTCATCTTCTATCCTTCTGTGTTGGTCTCATTCTCGCTTATAGGAAAATTCTATGTAGCTATATAGTAGTATTATATATATGCGCACCTCTGACCCTAAAAATCGAGAATCTATTTCCTATTAAAATAATCGATACACGCCAAAATCGCGTAAAAAAGAATCGATTAAATAAAATCGATTTTTGTGAGGAAAAAATCGATTTCCTAAAAAATCGATTCAGAATCGAACCCTAACCCAGAGTGGGTTAAGTTGGTGGCATATAGAAAAACTTAAACAGTAAAACGTAAGCAGTAAACAAATTGACCAATCACAATCGTTGATTCTTCTTACGGTCCAAGAATCAACGACTGTGATTGGTCAATATGCTTACTGCTTAAGTTCTTTTGTGTGCCACGGCCCTAACCCAGAGCCAGTCAAACACGCTATAATTTTTGTTTTTCTACCAGCATGAGTTCTGATTGGTTTCTGCTTTTTTGTCAAAGCGCCCTTAAAATAACCATTTAAAATTTTTATCTACACAGGCTGCGTTCCGATATATTCATTGCTTAGTATGGAAAATTTAGTTCGTGTCACATATATTATAAATCTTTAATATTGCAGTGAATATTGGAACACATTGGATGCTTTCTAGTTACGTTACACTGTTACACAAAATTAGTTTATTAGTCACATATTATCTAAAATATCTTGTAAGATAATATGCAACCAATAAACTGATTTTGTGTAACAATATACGTAGCTGAAAAGCATTCTGAGTCAATATTTATAATAAACCATTTTCGATATTTTTAAAATATAATACTTAAAACAGGAAATACACACACAAACAAATATAACAAAAACACTTCCTTTATGTTAAAATTATTTATTTACAAATGCTTGTTGAACCATTTTTTATCAGATGGCGAAATCCATTTATGACAACCAATCATATTGTTTTTTACCATGTACTTCCAAGTCCAAAGATGGTCATTATTTTCTTCTAACCAATTTTCCTTGGCTTCCTTCTGATCCAGTATCTCTTGACTAACAGCCATAGCTTTAAATGGCAGTATAGATGCTATTCGCTCTAACACCCTTTTTACCTAAATACGAATTTTGAGACAATATATTCGTGCTTATTCATATTTCAGTGATCATTATCAGAAAAAGATAAGACAGTGTGCATTACAAAGTTTCATTAATATCTTTGAGGATTATATAATATCAATATGAAAAGCAAGATACTTTGAAAATAATATTAAAACGTAGTATGTTATTGACATACCTCAAAATATTCGCAAGTGCCACCAACTTCTATAATGATACGACCTGCTTTAATCGGAGTGACATAATGATCGATAGAGCCTTTACCACCACCCATACGATGTCCTGTCCCCTGTGTGGCATAGTATGTTAGAAATTGTTTTATTTTTTATATGTTCTAAGAATTAATTTTTCAAACCTTCTTTGTAACTGGCTGCCATGGTGCATCCACCCGCCAAATGGCAAACATTCTATCTTGATCAAGGTTTCTAAGCAGCTTCATACGTATCATCTCGAAATGATTATGTTTCAATCTGCCTCCTATAGTAGCCTATGATAGAAAAAAATAATTAAAAAATCCAATATATATCTAACAATAACAATAGTTCTCTGTTACTCAGAGAATAATATCAAAGACTTACCATGATACCATACTGTCTGTACATGAGAAAATTATGCACATTCTCTGGTCCACGCATGTATCTCAAGCGCTTTTGCATCGTAGGGGCACGTAATCCTGGTGGAAATTGTGGAACTTTCTCTATTACTCTCAACTTGCGTCGCTCAGGATACTCGATTTCTGGAAACAGAAGTTTCATGTTAGAAAATTTCTCACATTCAGTAGTCATTATATGTCACTCAGCAAACATACCGCCAATTTCTTTTGGAGGAGGAAATACTTTTAAACCGGCTGTTTGTGTAACTGATGTCGACTTCAATGCTGCAAAAATTGTGATGTAAATATTTCGATACACACGCAAAGTTCCAATTAGAACTCACAATTTCAATGTAATTTTTTGTGCTTCAATGTAATGTCATTCGTTAAATACATAATTTTCAGAGACTTACACGAAAATAACATTCGTCCAGCGTTTCTGCATATTTGCAACATTTTTAGGCTCAAGATGTAAAACCGTTAAGCCTTGATCTTATGATGTAATAGTTAAATAAATCTAAGAAAAAAACAAGTAATATATATCTCAATTATTTAAATTATTCAGGGATAATTACGACAAAATTCACGAACAAATAAACGTAGCTCAGCTGCTCTACGTTAATAACATTCTATCCGATAGGTTATGATACGCTAAGTTAGATTAGGTTAGGTCAGATAAAATTTCGTCGTCAATGTAGATTACTGTAATCAGTTCAATAAATATTCAAAACCCATAAATTCGCTTACCGACGTGCACAGCGCAAAATATCGAGCAATTTAAAATTCAAATGCTAGAAATATTCATTAATCGTTAATGATTCTTCATTAATTCAACCAAATATCACGTAAATATAATAACGTCGGAAAATAATAAATCCCTATAAGCTTCTGAAATTACTTTGTACCGCTGACAGAGTATTTCTCGCACGGTATTTCGATTTTTCTTTCATCAGTAAAAAGAGAAAATATATAATTGTTTTTCATGCAAAATAAACGTCTAGCTCTTGTGTGAATAAAATTTAAAAACACAAAATAATTAATGTCAGGCAAGGATCAATGAAAGAGCAATCGTACAACAATGACATGTGAATAGGATGCGTTTGAACAGCCGCGCGGCGTATTTCCTCCAAACTAAATGAACAATATAACATACACATCGAGTGATAATTTATTTTTTATATATATATACTATATCGCTTTTCATCGAAATTACAAAAAAATTAATTACAAAGATTAAACCAAAGTCCTATTTTTATGCTCTGTGTAGTTGTTAATTACATATCTTAAATTTATCTCGCGGGTCTTTTTATACGTCGTATCGAATATCGTTTTCTTCCGTTCCATCGTCTGGTTTATAAACTCTAGCACACGGAAAGAGAGGAAACAAATGCTTAGAATGTATCGCGAACGGTAAAAAATCCTATTGCTCGAGGAGCGTTGGATCGTCGACACTAAACGTTAAATTTCCTTCAACCGAGATACACAAACGGGAGAATATATTATATGTATATATACGGCAAGTTTAAGGAGAGGGCTTAGTGATACGAAGCTCGATATGTTACAATTACAATATTTTATATATCTTTGATGACGGTTTGATGGTAACAACAGGTAAATACTACATATTGTACATTGAGTAGGCAATAGTCGTATCTTATTGTATAATTAGCGTATCGGCGGCGCCGACATCGATGTCGACAACGACGACGGCCACAGCTATGACGACGACGAGAAGATGATGATGACGATGATGATGATGATGATGATAATGATGATGAAGATGAAGATGAAGATGATGATGATGATAATGATGACGATGACGACGACGACGATGATAATGACGATGATAATGACAATGGAAATGATGACAACGGCGACGATATCGACGGCGGCGTTTCGCGTCGGAGAACGCGCGCGACTGACGCGGCGACGACAACAGCAGTAGCAACAGCAGCAACAATCTCAGTAACAATAACAGCAACAGCAACGATGACGATAATAATGATAGTAGTATAAGTAACAATAGCCGTAGTATAGTATAGTAATATAGACATGATGATAATAATATCTTTATTTCAATGAGAGAGAGAGAGACAGAGCGAAGGCTCGTCCTCCGCGCGTAACTTTTGGAAGCTATTTCTTGTTTTCTTTCCTCGCAAAGTGGTTTTTCTCTCAGAATCACCCCATGAAACTTCACGAATCCCCCTGCACATCGTTATAATAATCGCCTTCTCCCAGTGTAACCGTTCTGGACTTGAAGGATATGTGTGTACGCGCGTCGTCGCGATATCGTCCACGTCGGCCTCATGAGACGCGATCGCCACCGTCATCGCCGACATCGTCGTCACCGAGCGCAATTAGTGATCGCTAATTGCCGCTCTCTTCTTCTTCTCCTTCTTCTTCTTCCTCCCTTCGTCAGATTCGCGTTTTATCACACTTAATGTAAATATAAGGGCGACATCATGTCTGAGGAATGTGTGTGTTCGAGCGTGTCTATGTGTGTGCGTGGGCGCGGACTCAGCGCGCTTGCGATGAATCTATCGTATCACTAATCAGCACGAACCCAGGGAAAGAGAGGACATTGGAAAGACAGACAGATGCGACGCGCGCGTCCACCTGCGTCGCTTCTCGCGCTACATTGGTCGTGGGCGAGGTCGTGTTTCCGCATGGGATCAGTACGAGTCGAGTCACATAGGAAACACGGGGGAGTGGAGCGGGGGCCGTTCGCGTGGAGATTACCAGTGATCCCCGTGCGTATCGAGTATTAAACGTACTTTTATCCTAAAGCCGGTACGATCCTTTGTGCTCTTAGCGTCGCGAGAAAGAGTATTTGCGAGGATATAGTTGCCTTAAGTCTACACATTGTGCAGCGAGTATATTCTTTTTACAATAGAAAAGCGCTTGATGGTCATGATATCGATCTCAATGCGTCAATGAACCTATTAACATTTGAAGAGACAAAGAAGATGGAGAAACGAGAAAAATGTAACCAGGAGCAGAAAGAAACAAGAGGAAAGACAGATATACAGAGAGAAGTAAAGAACGACAAGACACGGAGATGGATATACCGTGTGTATATCAGAAAAGAAGGGAAATTAATAACGAAAGGAATGATAACGTGAGAGAGTCGCGATGACAACGGAGAGATATTCTCGGTCGGGAACCACTGGATTTTGACATGTCGAAAAGGATACACTCCGATGCCTCTGTTCGCGACAAACACGTTACAAACGGACACTACAAAAGCGCGAGTCTTCCGTTGTCGGACGATGTGGGGGGAGAGGAGGGCGAAAGATGCGTACGTATATACATGGAACGTCGTCTAACACGTGTGCTTGTGTGTACGTATGTATGTGTGCCACGCGACGATTATTAATAGGATGTATATATATATATATATATATATATATATATATATATATATATATATATATATATATATATATATATATATATATAT